TTCATGCAAAATCATGTGACTGAGAAGTCCTATTGATTTCCATGATCCCTTTCGCGCTTCGTGCAAGACACGAAGGGCCGTGCGCAAAAGAATGAGAGCTGAGTGCAGAAGAATGAGAGCTGAGTGCAGAAGAACGAGAGGCGTGCGCAAAAGAGCGGGAACCGTGCGCAAAATGAAGGCGCAAAAGGGAGGCATGGCAAGCGCGGTACAGCAACGCCGCGGTGACCCGCGAAGGGCCCGCCGGTGAAGTTCCCGGAAAAGGGCGCAATATACGGCACATCCCGCCGGAGTTAGGCTGTTCTATCACGTCGGATGAGCGGGCTCCCCGACGTGATCCATATAACTCACAATTTCTGCGGAGACGTAGGTGAGCGGGCTCCTTACGTCCCGATCCGGCCTTTTGCTCCGTTTGTGCTTCTTCTTCATAGTCATTTTCCGTTATTTGAACTTTTGATCTTTTGCTATTTTCTACCATGCCTGCGCTGTCAAACCTGTATTCTATGCCGCCTTCCAAGGACAATCACACCGTGCTTTGCACGAACCTCTCTCTCTCTCTCTCTTCGTCGTGTGCATAAAAAGAACAATGTCTCACCATAACTCTCATAATAACTCTCTCCCGGACTTGATTGATCTACTGAGACTCTCAGACTCCTTACCTGTCTTAGCTTCGTTGTCGAGTGTGAATCAAGGTGAGCAGAACACTAAGTTGGGTCGTCGATTTGGTTGGGTTGTGAGCGATCATGACAGGCAACGAACCTCGCAGGGATGCGACATTTGGTGCTGTGACCAGGATCCCAACTTCTGTGTTCTCTGCTTGACCTGGTTGTTACAGATGCCACCCAAGCGGAACAACCCCCCAACGGACAACCTACGCGAGCTACACGAGGCCCTCGGGCAATCGGCCGCAGCTCTCGAGGCCATGCGGCAGTTCAACTCAGCACGGGTGATCCGCCGTTTGCAACAAGGTCTTACACAGCTGCACTCAGCGATCAGGTCCCTCAACGCAGCAGTAGATCCATCGCGCAGTACATCGCCAGGGCCTCACCGGCAGAGGGATGGTGAACGGTTCCCCGGGGCCCTCTCCCAAACGACCATGCCGTGGGGAAGAGGGGTCCCCAGGACCGGTCGAACGAACAGCGTAGAGCGTCCGCGCTCGGTGCTGACGGCGACGGCGTCGGGGCGACGGCGTCGGGGCGGCTGCAAGCCAAACCGACCCATCATCCCACTAAGGACCGGCAGGTGAAGGCCACCGTGGCCGCAGCGGGAGAGGCGGCCCCAAAGCCGCCTCCTCCTGCTGTCGTGGCGGATCGGCAACAGCAGTTGCGGACGAGGGAAGCCGAACTGGCGACGGCCCAGGCTGAAGCCCTGGACGAGGCGAATCTAAAAGAAGCCGAGGAGAAGATGATGGAGGACTAATATTCTCATCTATCATCATAATTAATCCCGAACCGTGGCCAGATGGCACAAAAATCAAACTGCTCGTGTTCTGTGTGTGTGCTAAAAGAGAAGGGAGTTTTTACTTCCGTGTTCTTGTGGAAAATAGCATGCAGGGACATCAGGGGTTGAGGCGGGAATTCTTTGGGCAGCTGCATAATATTCGAATGCATAATGGGTGGCAGTAATACTAACACAGCAGAGAGGCGGGTAGGGAGTTCAATGGTGTACAACTAGTTACGCTCAAGCCAGACTAGTCGGCGACAGTCAGTACGGGACGGAGTTAGTGTAATCTCTACATATGATTTCTGTATGCGCACACGGCCTAAAAAGCACGTGCGCCAGCAGGGGGGGGGGGGGGGGGGGTGGGGGGGGGGGGGGGGTGGTACTACACGCACAGGAAGGAGTCCAGTAGGGTGGCTGAGCCAGGTGATTGTCAGCAGCAGCCCCCGGAACTAAATAGAGCTCAAGTACTAGTGCGTACCTGTACTTCTGACCTAGCGCCAGTATCGGCGGTAGTGCGTACGCACCCTGTGATCCGTGACAGGCAACGCACCTCACAGGGATGTGACATTTGGTGCTATGACCAGGATAAAAGGTGCGTGCAGACCCGGCTGGGTGTTCAATGTGGGCTATGCATGCGCATTTGACCAATTCTAGCCTCAAAATTAATGGAAAACAATCGCTTTTCCAGCTTCTTCACTTTGGTTAGAACTAATGACTAGCTAGATCTTTGTCAGAAAAAAGTTCTCAAAATGAAATGCCTTCAGGGCCCATTTCTTAGTGGAAATAGCAGTAAACACAATAGGGTCCTGCACATTCAACACCCAACCGGGTCTACGGGATTCTACGGGATTTCGTACATCTGTACAACGTGCATAAGGCATATTTCAGAGCTAGCTAGAATAAAACACCTTTTCATCCGCTTGTCCCTGTTGTAATGAAGAAAATAGCAAGTCTACCCGTTAGGTGTGCACAAGATCTCGGTTTCTCGTCACTGTGAGCCTGTTCGCAAGATTAGAACGTTACTAAGGTGATACCAGCTCTTTTAACCTCGCACCCAGTCACCTCGAGTTTCCTTGTCTAGCATCAGTAACCAACGGCAACAGGAAGAGAGGGGAGAGGATACTATAAGTGTACAAATATTCCTCTCATTCAAATTTCGGCCTCCCATGGCTAAAACCCATTTCGGCTCATTCAAATTTCGGCCTCCCATGGCTAAAACCCATTTCGGCTCATTCAAATTTCGGCCTCCCATGGCTAAAACCCATTTCGGCTCATTCAAATTTCGGCCTCCCATGGCTAAAACCCATTTCGGCTCATTCAAATTTCGGCCTCCCAGGGCTAAAACCCATTTCGGCTCATTCAAATTTCGGCCTCCCAGGGCTAAAACCCATTTCGGCCCATTCAAATTTCGGCCTCCCCGGGCTAAAACACATTTCGGCCCATTCAAATTTCGGCCTCCCAGGGCTAAAACCCATTTCGGCCGCATCAAATTTCGGCCTCCCCGGGCTAAAACACATTTCGGCCGCATCAAATTTTCGGCCTGTACTGCTGCTGCCTGTATACACTGTCACACTGAACCTTGCGAAGCAAAATTTCAGCCGCAACAAATTTTCGGCCAAACATGACCAGGCTGAAAATATAGCCGAAAATGAATACGCGCCGAATATTTGTTGACTTACAGCACAATGGTGCTTGAAGCGGTACGCCCACAGCCTACCATCAAGAGTAGATAAACAAGAGTGTGCAACTCCGGATCTCTCCTGCACAATCTGCAGATACCCCCGCCCACGGCGGAATGTTTTGTTGACGTCACCTTTTTTCAGAGAAACGCGCATTTTGCCGCAGAGCAGTGGGAGAGCACGTGCTGGGCACCGACCTTGTAGTGCAGAGCCCGGCCAAGAACACGAGGGAAAACTGAAGTAGAATAGTTCGCCTCTCTCTCTCCACAAGTATTTGATACCATACTGCACGTTTATTTATTGCTTCAAGTTATAGATTTTGAATTTGTACGTCGTGTTCTTCGTTTTGAGACTTTGCTTACCGTTCTGTTCTGTTATCCATATTCTGCATTCTCCGCGCCTGCTCTGTTCCTTTCTTCTCTTGCTATTATCATGTTTCCTTTCCTCTCTGACTCACACTGACTGTCAATTTGTCTAGTTTCAAATTGTTTCATCGTCTGCCAGATCGCAGAGGTTGTTTCCTGCATCGTAGCTCACGGTTACTTTTCGAACACATTTTTGCGTAGGCATTTTCACGAGTTGTGTTGACGTCATGCCCTATCAGCTACGCGTCATTATTGCGAGCATGCGCATTGCTTTTGCCTTCTGCCTTATTTGCATGCTGCGCTTGCTGCAAAGGTTAGCGTCCCCACGCTTGCTGGCCGAAGCCCCATTGACCGCGCCGCGTGCGTACTCGCACACGTCAGCCGGGCTTCTCCACGTCGCCTTGCCCCGCCCCCGCCGGTTCCGTGGAGTTCCGGTTTTATTTCTCCTTGTTGATTAGCTCTCCCAAGATTGAGTTGTTGTTTTCTATATCCTTACCTAATTAATTCAATTCCAAGTATCAGTCCTTTTATTTACACTACTGTCGGAGTCCGCCGTTGTAAGTGCTGTGTGCATGTGCGGAGTAGTAGTGGTGAATAATTGTTGTGCGTGCGTTACACAACAGAGTGGTGCCGAAACCCGCCTTGGATTTGAGGATCGTTGGGTCGTTCGTGTTGTAGTGTTCACCTGTGTTGGTGCGTTTGTGGCAGTGGTCGGTGCCCGTGCTTGTTTCCCGCAAGCTGTTCTACTAGCGTTTAGTATCGTTATTCGTAGTGTGTTCTGTTCAGTATGAGTCTCAAGCTGGACAATTTCCTTCGTCCCTTCAAGGGCAAGGGGGACGATTTCAATGC